CGAGGACGCAAGGAAGCGAAGTAGCGAGCTCGAGGACGCTAGGAAGCGAAGAAACTACTAAAATAGACATTACTGTGTGATCTGTAAGCTTTGTAATCCTAGACTCTGCATACGTTAACATTTCTTATGTTCAAAAATAATAATCAGCTTAAAACAAAAGAAAATAAAAAACAGCGCTAACCTGCTGAAAATCGATTCTCTTGCATTCCGTCCCTGTTGTCCAAGAATTTAAAGATGTAGTCCCAATCTGAGATCCACGTAGGGAAGCCTGGAAGGATAACCAGTTTACCTCCACCGTCTTGTTGGAACCATTTCCGAATTCAAGGACACAAGCGGTGAATTCACTCGCTGTAACAGCTTCAACCCAGACCGCAGCGCCGTTCCGAGGCGTTTGGCTCTTTACGGTATGACCAACTGAGGCGAAAACCGTTACTTGCTGTCCGCCGTAGAAGGGGCTTGGAAAATAGACCACCTTGCAAGCAAACAGTCCAGGTGTGATCGTAGTTATGTTGTCTTTTCCAGCCTTGAAACCGAGTGCTGGGAGAGAATAAATAACAACTTGTTTTTGCGCTTGTTACATTATAGTGGAAGCTCTACTAAACAATAACTTCCTCGATCGGTGCGTCCCTCCCCTAATCCCTTCTACCGTTCAAATATCTTCGACAAGACATAAAATAAACGTCAACTGGCGATTAATATAAGATACACAATCGCGGAACTTTGGAGTAAACTGCTATACCTTCATTGGCTGGAGCAAAAGCACAAAGGAACAAAAAAACTAGACTGACGACGTAGATCGGTTGTTGGCGCACAGACGACATGTTGCTCCGACTGAAAGGGGACTTTGGTCTGATATACATTTAAATGACTACAAGAGCTACGCATACGTGCCGACTATCATCTACATGTTAGGAAAAGCCGAATTATAAGATTATCATAATGACAATGATGGCAAATAGCCCGTTTTTCTGTTCTATTATGGAGACGCTTGCCCTTTGGTGGAGAGGTGGGGTGAGGTGGTTGGTGGCACTCTAATTATTTCATGCTGCACAATTAAAATAAAGGATTTCTTGGATACTGACCTGATTTGTCCATTTCAAGAAGAAATCTTTACAGGTCTTTGGCGAAATGGCAAAAGAGAACTGCCAAATATGCGAAGTTCTGTTCAAGTTCAGATCTGTGTTGTCTTGCCAAGACCCCACCATAGATCCCCTGGAATCATACCACTCTACCCCCTCATCATCAAAGAGTAAACACAGAACTCATGAAACCAAGTTTTCAGCTTCGAGATTTTTACAGTTTAATATTATCAATCGTTATCTCGTCTTAGATTTTGTAATTTTTAATTCTAAATGAACTATTTAGCTTGCATGCATATTTCAATTCGTGTTTGCGAAGTGTGCCTAGTTCCTGCGGCCTAATACACTTTGAATGGGTCAGCAAATCGTTTAAAAAAAAAACGCCATGTGTTGTTATGTTTGGACTCTCGTTACTGAAGGTTTTTCATTTTTTATATTTCAAGGTCATCACATCTATAAAAAATTGCCCTTTTCTTATTTTCTTTGTTTTGTTTTGGTCTCTGTCTTGTAGGAATGTTAAAACTATAGTTCCATGGTTTCACGCATATGCATTTCGCTAGCCCGTTTGAGTCCTTTGTTTATAAAACAATCGAAAACGAGCTAATAAGTTTTGTTGGAAATTCATGTTTTGAAAATTTCACCCACTCCTGTGAAAAGACGTTGGCAAACGTAACATCTCTCATGGAATTCGTTCCGTCTGTTTTCTCCCCCAGGCACCACTTTATTCCATTGTTTATGAACCAATCGGATACTAGTACATAACTAAATAGATCCTTCGGCCCGAAATCTGTTGATATCTTTCCTTGCGATCTCGACATCGGCCATTCTGCTTGCGCAAATTATAGCCCGTGATTGCTGAACTGCATTTGATTCAGTAAGAAATCTAGCGAAAAAAAAGGCTTTTTCGGTATATCATTAAGTCTCCGTATACGTCGCGAATCGTGAAGTTATCCTTTAAACGTTTCCTGTTTTTGCTTCTTCATTAATCCTCGTCACTGTGAACAAACGATTTCACATCGCAATTTCAGCAATTTCCGTTGGAAAGATTTTCTTTCGGCTTCAACGATTAGTAACTTTATCGAAAAGAAACATGACTTTTTTCCAAGCTCTTAACCTTCACATTCGTATTAGAGTTTTT